TCCAGCTTGGTAAAAATTCTCTCTGCTTTTGAACGAAACATTATTTTCTCCTTTACCAAGGGAACTTTTAAAATAAATTTGTTGTTGTTGTTTTTTTTTTAAATAATCTACCTAACTCAAATGATGACCTCAGTGACTTATATTACTCTTAAAAAGCCATATCTTATTTAAATAATGTAACACAATTCAATTTATTAATTTTGAGTTAAATAAATAAATAATTTAAAAAAAAAAATGATCAATCATTCAGTTACATTAAAGATTTTGTTTTTCTGAATTGCATTCCATTAACTTTTGTGAATAACACAATGTAACGAACTTATAATTTATTCTTAATAAAAAAAATTTGACAAGTGCCTGTTGACTGTGTGATGGAGTCCCCTTTTGCTGTCAGTGTAACCACAAGATTACTCATACACCGGCTAGAGAAATAATAAAGTTCACTTCCAAAATAAAAATCTATAGAAATGTCCTACCTTGTCATTCTGAGGTTAAAATCCACAGTGAATTCACAGAGACATGACTTCTACAATAACCCCTTAAGAAAGTCCTCCAACGCTGGCATGAAATTTAAATGTTTCATGACCCCTGGCCTGGACAGGAAACTGCCAGCACTTTATGGTTTACATTTAACATATCCTTCCAAATTTCTAAGTATTTGTCAACACTTACAAGGAAAAAGTTTTCACTTTGGTATGCAATGAAAAAAAGCAGCGTAATGCTAGTACATGTGGATTTCATCAGCCTTTACTATTCATCCCCGCTCTGCAGAAAATCATAAAGTAATCGGAATTAATGGAGGAGAAACCATCAATGAATCTGCCATTGTTAATCACTTTACAGTAAGCAATTCATAACTCATACACAAACACTGGAGAGTATAAAACCACCAATCATAATTGTCAATAGACATCATAAAAACTCAGCACCACATAAAAAAAAGATAGAATTGGGAATAAATTCCACAAAGCATAATCACCTACAAACTTCTTCTCTGTCTGTGAGGAATAATCTGATCCCCAATTTCCTCGATCCCATGCGGAAGGTGGTCACAGGTAATTGCTGATGCTTATTGCTAATTCTATCTCCCCGGGAATCAGAGGGAAACTGACGTGCTAATTCCCCTAAAGCCAGCAAGCCTTTCCTCATCACAGAGACGTGAGCCCGAGTTAAGACCAGGATTAATCACTCGCTCACTCAGCTGAAAGGTTATTCCTGGTAACCGTTTCATCCAACTCACAAGGTGTACAAAATATATCAAAGGGATTCCTTGCCAACACTTCAACAATAGCAAAGGAGTGTTCTTTAAATAGGATACAAGATACATGGAACGTTCCAAAAATATACTGTTTTTCCAATTATATACTTTAAATAATGACTACCAATTTTGTTGTGTTTAGAAAAAAAAGCATACACATACAATCATACACAAAAAGCAAACAAGTTAAAAAACAGCATCAACTACGTTGCGTGAAACACAAGCAACAAATTGAACTCTTTCCATACCAAGCAGGGTCAAGTTGACAGTATAGGAGATATAATAATGATCTAGTCATTGTAGTCCTGCTCACACTGACAAGTGACCCCCACTGAGTTGCAATGAAAAAAATTACCCAGGATTCTATTTAGAATCAATTTGTGGCACTAATTGATAATTGTCTCTGGGGAGTCCAGATTATCAACTCTGTCTGCTACAGACTAATAAACCAATTCACCATCACCACATAATGGCCAGGCAATATTTACTGTCCACAGAATAATGGGCTGGCTCAGAATATTGTCCATAGAGCAATGGTCACAAACCAATGGTTAGGCTTTATAGCCTATGGAATTCAACAGGTCAGGGCTATAAAGCCTACAGATTACTGATTAGGCTAAAGAGTCCAGAGAATTCCATAGACAGGTATTTATAGCCTACATTATACAATGATATTTACTACAAAACACAAAGAATTGAATTGGCAGGCTAAAGTCAGCCCATAGGACTCGATGATCATGCTACATAGCCCACAGAAATCAACGGTTAGGTTACAATCAGTCTCTATTTCCTACAGATTTGAATGTTTCGTTAAAAATGTAATATTAATGTGCTGTATCAAAATTTTCAGCAAAAAAAATCAAATAATGATCATACACTGGAAAATTAGTGATTTTGTACACTGTATATTTGAGTCTAATTTTACACTGTGAAAAATGTCTTTGATTAAGCTTTACCTTTCTTTATGCAGTGACCACTCCAGCAACAAATTTCAATCATAATTTGTTAACTGATGTGTACAAATCACAGTATAATCATTAATTTTAAGATATATTGCCTATGTTATACTTAAAGTATGTTGCTTCTGAGACAACTGAAACCCCAGCATTGGGATGTATTCAACATGTTCCAGTAGAGAGAGAGTTCCACAATAAAGTTAATTTTACCTCATATTGCTCTGTGTATAGCAGATGTTTGGTAGAAATCTTCAGGTTGCCTGAGGAAATCCTCCACATAACGAACCACTCTTAATCCTCTGAAGAATTCTCTCCAAGCCGTGACATTAAAGATGCACAATTACATGACAAGTTTGTCTATAAAAATAAACTTTAATAATTTAATTACTCAGTTTAACAAACAATAATATCACTCTTGGATAAATGCATGTTCTGCATTAAATGTTTTGACATTCTGTCCACTGCAGGCAATTCCAAATTCTTTTTATTAGTACTTTTGTAAATGAAATGTACAGAAACCTACTAAAATTAATAGTACCAGGGCCACACTTCCCACACATCAAAATTATGCATTAAACAACTGACCTAACATTATAAAGAGATACATGTTTATTTACTGAATCTTGACCTTGCATGACCTTTGATATCACATGCTGAGATTTCAGAGAGAGATATCAGATTTATACAGTTTTAATATCAATCTGTGTGGAGCTTATCTGATGCGTTAAATCGGAATGAAAGCTATATTTACCTGAGGTGGCTGGTGGGCACAGGAAGTGAATCATCGTTTCTCCATCAGAGCTATGTAGTTATAATTGATCGTCACCTTGTACAGACTGACCTGTCAGACTGGAGCGCAACATCAACAGACGCCTGCAACAGAAATCATACCACTGATAGATAAATAAATATACTCCAACGACAACATATCACTGATAGCCAAATGTATATATACTCCAATGACAACTGCAGCAGAAATCATATCACGTACTGATACTCTGATAGTCAAATGAATATACTAAAACTAGATGCTGTCATGAGACAGTAATACCCGCACTAAGGTGTTTGCCTCTAAATACACAATCCTACAGGGCGGCTTACCAAGGAAAAAGTCAAAATAATTCTATATAATTCAGGCACGTAGCATCGTTTTTGAAAGTGGGGGGGGGGGGGCAACCTGAGAAAATTTTTTTTACTAACCTAAAAAAATTAACAAGGAAAAAAATGAAATGGGAGGGGTGGAGGTGGGGGGTGGTGGCCACTTTTTTTTCAAGGCAAAATTACTTTCACTTCCAATTTTTCCCATATTTCCTTGCAATGTATATACTGTGGTTAAAAGTGGGGGGAGGGGGCAACCATCTTTTTAATGGACATTTTCTTATAGTACAGGTAATGTTGGGGAAAAAAGGGGGCCCCCCCCGGTTGCTACGTGCCTGTAATTTACATATGTATTCATAAAATTGGGTATGAAATTATCCCTGTGACCTATAACTCAGAACCTCTTATATTTATTTTACATGCTTAATTCATTATATACCAGTTTGAATTCTATTAATAATGTAAATTAGATTTTGATAAATGTTTTGCTCATATTAGGACCTTTTTAAATTTACTAATCCCCCCCTCTCGACACCACAATCACACAGTACATACTTTTGGGAATAGGCTAGATGGAACAGTTTTGTTAAAACAGTGTTTGTTATGAATTAATTTAAAATTTGTTCTTGACATGTAAATTCTACATCACATCACGTTGCGTCACCCATTATCATATTTTTAGATTAAACTCCATTCGGTACACCTCGGCCGATTCCCACTTCATCTGATAAGGTGACGGAATCGACGGCACGGAGGTTTTCCGAATGGAATATCATTATAACATGCTGCAGAATGGTGTGCTTTGGATTAATTCATTTTGTGTTATAATTGGATTTATATTTCATGAAGTTTACAGGACCTATGGAGGTCGGTAAGTACAAGTTTAAGTATAGTGGGGGTAAAATAAACCCAAACGATTAGGTTAAAGTTCAAAAAGGGTCAAAGATCATCGCATCCCACACTAGACGAATTTCATATTGTGAAGTTATCTCCCCTTGTCGATGTGACATTCAGTTACTGCCAATACTGGTGCGGATCCAGAATTTTTTTTGGGAGTAGGGAGGGGGGTTCACATCTCAGTCAAAATATTCATGCCTAGAATTTCCTGACAAGCAGGAGAAAAAAATCATACACTGAAAACAAATAAACAAAAAAAAAAAAACCCAATGTTTTCTTAGTTAGGGGGAGGATGTCCAAAATCATTTTTTATTTGCTTCAGTATATAGTCTTGTTTAAATAACAAAGGAAATTCCAGGGGGGGGGTTCCAATCTCCCTACCCACTCCCTATCCCTGAAATAACAATCTATTTTGTGATTCCAATTAAATAGTATATTTTTTTCCATTTGACTAATTATGTACATATTTTGTTTCTTGTGTTTATATTATGTCTGTATATTTGTCTGCAGAAATTATAACCTTGCCCATAAGTTTTAAGTGGGATGGGCTATACAATTGGCTTCCACATTTTATAGGTTTATTTCTTGTGACAATTAAGACCTTTTATTTGGGTACCATTAATTTTTACCTCTGATCACTTGACCTAGAATACACATTTTTACAAGAAAAATACCCAACTTTAAACTTGGCCTAAATTTTGATCAGTAGGTGCTAGGGCTTTCATGCTTAACATGTGTATTCATTGTGAACTGTCAACAGGTATAAATATGTTTGACCTTGACCGTAGAGTTTGAACCACTTAAAAAATTAACCTTGGCAATTAACTTTTGAAGAGGAAGTACTAGGGATTACTTATTTCACATGTGCATTCCTTGTGACAAGACTTTTTTCTGATACCAACAATTGAACCTTTTGACCTTGACCTTTGAGTTTGACATATATTTGAGAAACTTCAACCTTCGCCATAGGCTACCAGACAGGGACATCAGTGTTTCACAAACACATCTTGTCTTCATTATTATTTGGTGGTGTCTCCATATGACGGAAAAATTCCAATGAGATATGTATTCACAACAAACAAACAAATTACTAAAGAAAATATAAAACATGAATATGTTGGTCATGCATATCTCTGCATGAAAAAAAACCCAGCTTTTCAAGTACTGCAACCATATTGTAACCCTTTCAAAACACTCATTTGAGCTTTTCTGGTTTCCTTGTCATATAACGTCTGTTGTGACATGTTGTCCATCTGTTTGTCTGAAAACTTTTTACATTTTTAACTTTTCTAGAACCACTGGTCCAATTTTACCCATGCAATTCATATAGAAATATGTACATTTGTATGTCAGACTGTTCTTCTGTCTGAATAAAATTAACCTTGGTTATCACGGTCATATCTACTGAATGAGAAGAGACAAGGCATTCATATTAAACTTATGTACTAGTATTTACCTGTGAGAATGGCATGGTTTTTTTTGTTTTTTTTTTACATATGACCTAGAAGTTTGACCTACTTGCAAAAAAATTAAATTGTTATAAATTTATCATTTTGAAAGAGAAAATTTAGGGCATTCATATTATAATGCATGTATATTATTACCTGTGATAAGATCTTTCCAAATGAATCATGACTTTTACTCTGTGACCTTGACCTTGAAGCCTAACCTACTTTTCAAAAACGTTGCATTTGCTTATAACTTTTGATAGAGATGAGATATGACTCTCACATTTGACATTTGTACATTAATTACTCATAAAAATTCAAGATGTTTCCCAGCTTGCAATGTTTTTTTACTCTTTAACTCTTTTAATGTTTTACATAATTTTCAAGATATGTAACTCTCCTAAAAGATGATTAGGCTTCTGAGTAACATTAAGGAGGACTTCAGGAAAGACAGGGCTTTTTACACAAAAAATGTAATTTTCCACCCCCATTTGACCTCCCAGGGCAATATCAAAATTCCAAAACCTTGCTGCACATCTACATGACACTACCAACCATCTCCCTAAAGATGAATAGGCTGCTGTGTAAAATGTAAGAGAATTTCAGGGAAGACGGGTCTTTTTGCATAAAAAACGTCATTTTTCGACCCCTATTTGACCCCCCAGGGCAAAATCAAAATTCCGAAACCTTACTGCACATCTACATGAAACCACCAACCATCTCCCAAAAGATGATTAGCCTACTGTGTAAAATGTAAGAGGAGTTCAGGGAAGACGGGGCTTTTTGCATAAAAAACGTCATTTTTCGACCCCCATTTGACCCCCCGGGGCAAAATCAAAATTCCGAAACCTTACTGCACATCTACATGACACCACCAACCATCTCCCAAAAGATGATTAGCCTACTATGTAAAATGTAAGAGGAGTTCAGGGAAGACGGGGCTTTTTGCATAAAAAACGTCATTTTTCAACCCCCATTTGACCCCCCGGGGCAAAATCAAAATTCCGAAACCTTACTGCACATCTACATGACACAACCAACCATCTCCCAAAAGATGATTAGCCTACTGTGTAAAATGTAAGAGGAGTTCAGGGAAGACTGGGCTTTTTGCATAAAAAACGTCATTTTTCGACCCCCATTTGACCCCCCGGGGCAAAATCAAAATTCCAAAACCTTACTGCACATCTACATGACACCACCAACCATCTCCCAAAAGATGATTAGCCTACTGTGTAAAATGTAAGAGGAGTTCAGGGAAGACGGGGCTTTTTGCATAAAAAATGTCATTTTTCGACCCCCATTTGACACCCCGGGGCAAAATCAAAATTCCAAAACCTTACTGCACATCTACATGACACCACCAACCATCTCCCAAAAGATGATTAGGCTACTGTGTAAAATGTAAGAGGAGTTCAGGGAAGACAGGGCTTTTTGCATAAAAAACGTCATTTTTCGACCCCCATTTGACCCCCCGGGGCAATATCAAAATTCCGAAACGTTACTGCACATCTACATGACACCACCAACCATCTCCCAAAAGATGATTAGCCTACTGTGTAAAATGTAAGAGGAGTTCAGGGAAGACGGGGCTTTTTGCATAAAAAACGTCATTTTTCGACCCCCATTTGACCCCCCGGGGCAAAATCAAAATTCCAAAACCTTACTGCACATCTACATGACACCACCAACCATCTCCCAAAAGATGATTAGCCTACTGTGTAAAATGTAAGAGGAGTTCAGGGAAGACGAGGCTTTTTGCATAAAAAACGTCATTTTTCGACCCCCATTTGACCCCCCAAGGCAAAATCAAAATTCCGAAACCTTACTGCACATCTACATGACACCACCAACCATCTCCCAAAAGATGATTAGCCTACTGTGTAAAATGTAAGAGGAGTTTAGGGAAGAAAAGTGTGACAGACGGACGGACGGACATGAGTAACAACAATATACCCGAACTTTCTTTAGAAAGTGCGGGTATAATGACAAAAAATATCACTGATAGATAAATGAAAACTCCAATGACAAAAACAATAATCACAAGATAAGCTTATTATAGATTGCATCTTTCAGTTGATCATCCATTTTATTATATAAACTTGATTTACATGATTGGCCACATGAGAATTATCACAAAAAAGTTGACAAAAATAATAATAATCTTTGTGCAAAATGGCACATAAAGAATTCCCCCTAATGATCTGCAGGTCCTGCATGATTATCAAGTGTAATAAAATGACTTCTATACAGTTAAAACAGATCACTCATCCGCTATTATTTTCAGAGGAATTACAAGACAAGAAAATCTTCACATCATTCATCACAATACATAAAGTCTTAACCAACCCAACCAACCACCCCCCCACCCCCACCCCCCCCAAAAAAAATAATAAACTCATATACTGAACAATCACTGTCATTTACTGCATGTCAAAAACATAACCACTGTCATTAGTATAAAGCCAGAATCTGTAGCTATAATTATAGCTGGAGAAAACTGCCCACACTTCAGCTATGATGAGAGCCTTTTGGCAGATTCCTGTCAAAAGTGATTACTAATCAGGATTATCTGCCTTAAAATGATGGGTAATCAGGGTTTAATCGTGATAAGCACTTCCATCCCATCACCCCTAGCTTCACAAGAGGAAGTTTTCAGTAGGATCCAATGGCCTGAAAAGAGGAACATTGTTTTTCCATAGTCTATCTCTGTGATTCCGAAAAAGAGGCACACTGCTTTCTCTTAGACTATATCTGACAATTCTTAGAAAGGATATCCTCTTTTAATTGCTTAAAATATCAATCAACAACTATTCCTCAAATTTCTCACTCATAAATGTTTCTCAGTGGTTCATTTGTATATTTTTCTTAGTCCATATAAGCCTAGGCCTGGCATCATAAATACACTGTAGTGCTTTCCAAGGTCCTGAAAGGTAGTCTTTGATGTTGACAGTCTAAACATGGCAAAATTATGGTGTCCACTTAAAGTTGCATGCTCTTAAAGCAAGAATTTCCTTATAAATATGGCCATAAATCAGTGTATATACTTATGCACACCTTAACCTCTACAAATACCGGTAAGTGTAAAACAGTACTTGATTGCTGTGATTGTTCTACTGAATTGATTGGTTATTCCCTATGGGTTTCCTCGGGTATGTGTAGGTGTGTGGAGGCGTAAAATCTGCAACATGATGCAAAATACTGGTCTCCGCAATTTGTACGACTAATTTACGGCAAACCAAGCCCATGTACTCAAGACACGATCATCATAACTCATAACAAAGACACAGACTTAAAGGTCTGACATATCACTCCATTCCATTTTATAAGACCATTAATGATAAAAACGAAGTCAAGTCAGCTTGGTCTCCTCACTCTTTCTGTCACTGGCTGTTCATTTAAAAGCCAACGTCTTACTTCTAGAGATCCATCAAAACCATAAAAACCAAGCTGAAGACAATATTGGCATTGTTTACCACTTTATGTCTCCCTCTTGGCTTTGTGTCTCAATTCTTCACACAATTAGCTCACAAAAAACAGGTGAACGCAGATTTTTTATTGAATTATCTAAGAATATTTTATGGTGTGATAGTTGTCTACTGTCTTAAATGAACTTTACAACCTCGAACCTTCTTTTAAAATATATATATAAGAGCTATATACCATGGTATTTTTAGTCCTTCCAAGTTATAATGTGTAAAACTCTGCATTGGGAAAACAATTGTTACATTATCATAAAGACATGTTCCTGAAGAGTGCAAGCTTGCTCCAATACAGCATGAATTATTCTTTTGATAACCAATAGGACTGAAAATAGTATCCCATAAACTCTATCATAATTGAATCATTTTCTTTATCCTTGAATGTCTTTATAAGATGACACTAAGTCATCCATCCTCTTATTCAACCCAGAAGCATATTTAGAAAAATGTCAAAATACAGTCAAACTTTATTATCTCAAACTTCATAGACTTGCAGAGATATCCATGGATTCCAGATATAGAGGGTAAAGTACTTAAAGAATAAGTGGTTGGGACATCTATTGATCTAAGCAAATGTCTGAGAAATCTTGCCAGATTTAGAGCTTTCTTGACTTCCTCACAAAAGAGCAGAACTGCAATACTACGTATTCCAAACATCCATGATATTCAAGATATCAGTATTTGAAAGACAAAAGTTCATGCATCTGTATAAAGGTTAAAACATTTCTCTTCCATTTATCAAAATTTAATCTCGACAACTTTTTATATTAAAATTGCTTTTATATCCTCTATTTCTATTACATGTAGAAAAATATCATTAAACAGTTTTTTCATCTATTTACTTTTGACTCAAACTTAGTACAAATTATATAAATTCACAGCAAACATTGAAAAGGAATATTTTAAACATGCTATAAAATGTAGATCTCTTTTCATGGTTATCACTCAAGGTTTTCAGTATCAATATACTGTAAACCAACTTTTATTTGCGTGCAAGAAATTTCCATGAGTTTTGCGACCACGTCTGAGAAGTCTGAGAATGCTCTCAAGTCTGAGAATTTTCTCAAATCCAAAAATCTCAGACTCAGCGGCCGTCATAAAAAAGTTGAGAAAAGTAAAAATTCCTTAAACCCTGTTTTATTCTCAAATTATTCTCAAGACTTGAGTTGAGAATTTTTTTGAGAATTCTCAAAGTTTTATGACGGCGGACCCTGTGCACAGTGAGCCAGAATATCTGTATTGCTCTAAACCTCTAATGTACACCTTCCATAAATAACTAACCTTAATTACCAGAAACAGGGTATCAGAGAAAAAAGTTAATTACAGTGAAAACTGTCTGATCCAACACATCATAATGTGAATTCCGCTCTGGCATTTGACTATTTCCCATGTTTCTCCACACTGTGTAATCCAACATCCTGTCTATTCCAACACAGTGTATGTCAGATTAGATAGGTTTCACTGTATTACATAGCTTGAAAGAATTCTATACAACTTTGTGAAAAATGTAAATTGTCTCAAAGACATGTTTAAATGACAAAAATAAAAAAAAAGGAATTGGTTCTAGTGCACAACATTTTCAAACAAAAAATTCCAAATTCTAAATTTCAACTGTCAGAATCCTTTTTGGTTTTATGGTACATATAATTAATTTATCATGCATATTTTGCTTTAGGTATGGAACTTAAAACTATGCACTTTTAACTAAAAATAATAAGGTAAAAATACTCAAATTAATATACCTCTCTCAACCTATTATTTAAACCTACTAGACACGAACTGGCCACTTAAGATGCATTTAATTCCTAAATACCTGCCAGTATCAGAAAAAAAGTATCAAGGATTCAGCATGGGATAATTGACAATGGATTTTATAAAGTATGAAAATAATGAAATGTATCCTGGCTGTATAAAACTGACAAAGAATAGGACTTAAAACTGGGCGATCTGGAACGTTCTGCACAAGCATGGACAGATGGATTCTCTCCGCTTAGCCATTACCATATTAGACATCCAGAAACTCTGAATATAATTCATAAATGCAGCTAAATGATTAACATTTATTCACTTTTTTCTATTAATCTATTTAGAAAAAAAATAACTTTGCACAAATGCATTTATTAAGTGAATACTTAATCAAGCTAGCTGTCAAAAAAGACACATCTTTTATAAGAGAAGTCATTTTCTGAGAGCCAATTGTTTCTGTGTTGTTTTATGGGGACTCTTAATCATTAACCCCACACATATAGTGAAGGTAGTTACATATTATAGATCACCTGTTAAGGTTTGATTATCTTGCTCATAAAATTTCACCCTGCACAGGTGCAAATTGCATGTGTTGACTATAGACAGGTATAATTAAATCAGAACTACTATAAAAGAGTGCCACAAAAATGACGATGATGATCAATAAATGTTACCTGTTTAATGAATAAAGGTTTATAGCTGGCAGTCCAGAGAAAAAAATTATATTCACAAAGAAATTCCCACAATCAGAGAGAAATTCAGCCACAAACAACTGTAAATTTAATGATGAAAAAAAAGCTGTTATAACATTTAAATATTCCCTTATACTGACATGAATGCGTGGGCGTAGGAAATCAATAGGCAGACTCTAGTTAAATGAGTTGTTTTATAACCACTTGGTAAACCTTAGCTATCTTGTCAAGGCTACTTAAATTTCACACTTTTTCACAGCAAGACCATTGGCCGCAGGCTAAGAAAGCTTTAATCTGATCCAGCATTAACCTTTAGGGGAAAGACACTCTTGAAGAGTAACTAGTTCACTGTAGGGTATGCCTATTCATGTGTGCAATAAACAGTGTGACACATGATCTACAAATCTGTTGTTTCATCTGATGAACCACTTGGCTTAAATAAAGTTTATAACTGAAACTAATAACAGTAGTGACAATTACCCTGCACATGAGGTATCATTACAAAAATAAACATCCACCGGGGGGGGGGGGGGGGGGGGGCAAGTTTGGTAAACATACAATTTCATCAACTTAGGAATACAAATGTATTATTTAATCAAGTTAATACATTAATTATCTCAATCAAATTATAAGTATCCTACGGTAAATGGTATCCTTAATGCAAGGTTGGTCACTTTAAGATTATATGGAGCCAAATCTTTTTTTTACTCTGCATTCAAAAATGTTGAAAACTTGCAGCATTCCAAACTCTGGCAACACGCAACCCAAAGGGCAACACTGGGCAAGCAAGGACTTGAGTGACTAATAGGACAAGACCTATCAGACTTGTTGTTCCTCAAAGTAACATTTTTAAAGATTTATTCCTATAGATATTACATTGCACTAGTAGTTGCCCATTTTCATTGTGCTTTTTGAGGAGATTTTTCAAAAAAAATTAAGCAACCAATTTTTCACTATTTCTAAATTATCTCCCTTTGAAAGAGGGCATGACCTTCATTCTAACAAATCTGAATCCCCTTCACCATGATGCTTTGTGGCAAGTTTGGTTCAAATTGAACCAACAGTTCTCTAGAAGTAGAAAATGTGAAAGATGGACGGTCTGTGACAGCTCGACAGACAGCAGGCTAAAAATTTCACCATATTTTCACAAATTCAAATCAAAATGGTATGCAGTTGGGTCAAAAACACATTAAATGCAATTCTTTTTACCAAATTTTCACAAGAAATCATATCTTTTCAAATGTCACTAGACAGGGAGAGGCTTTTTTCCAGTAAAATGAAATGTAATCATTTGGTACATTAGTTCTCATTAAAAGGGGAGAGAATTTTTCTCTTCTTTTATTCTTTTACTACAGAGGTAAAGCATTAAAATCAACTGATTATCCATCCCTTCCTTTGATTACAGAGAAGAACTTTTATTTCTTTACATATGATGCTTTTCCCTTCATCGGACTTTATAGTTTCTTCCTCTTACCAATTTCAGTTGACCGTTCTATCAGGGGATTCGTTAGCAATTTTTCCTTTGATTTGTCAATTAAGGATACTTTTATTAATTTTTATTTAATATTATCCATTTAGTTCATTATAAATGCAAGGTTCTCAGTACAAGAGTCACAAGGAGGAGAAGGATTTTTATTCACATGTTCTCAATGGCTCCAAGTCATTCTGCCAAGTTCCTTTGTTGCCGATTCTGATTTCATTTTATTTTAATACATGTACCACATTCACAGGCATGCTTGACCATCTTCTGGTCTTAAGAGAATTGGAGAAATCTCAATCTCTGTGTAAAAATCAATAGAATCTCTTGTCCTCGGAAATTAACGATCTGCACTTGATTGCTTTAGACATTTCTCCATATTCTAGCTTCTTCAAATGCCTTATATAAAATCAAAGAGAGACCTTTTCTATAAAATAAAATTAGCTTGACTTCTCTCAGTGTGCAGTTTATCATAAATGATTCTTAATACAGTATGAAGGTTGATCCAGAAATAAAGTCATATTGTCCATATCTTCTGTATTTGGCAGCATATTCATATAATAGTGTTGCATTATGCATGTACTATGCCTAAATAGTAGGCAGGGTTTGACACATGGTGCACGAGCCGGAGGCGAGTGCACTATGTGTCCAACCCTGCCTACTATTTAGGCATAGTACATGCATAATGCAACACTATTGTTATTATTATGCTGACTGTTGTAATTATTTATGCGGCAATCCATTTGACTTTTTCCTGAAAATATCGGTGCTAACACAGTGCACTTGCAAGAACTCATTCAAAATCTTCATGCTAAAATTAGTTGCATGCTTAGTTATTTTGGGTACTTGGTATTTTCTCTAAATAAGTCAGGATTTTCTGTCCCAAACCAACTTATCTTTATTTTCTGTTTTGTTATTATATTGTTGTTTGTTTGCAGACGTCGATTCTCATTGATAATTTTCTTTTACATCCTTCAATCAAGCGTCATATAAAAAAAGCGTTTTAATGACCCTATGAAATCAGTTCATCTAACGATCTGTATGTAATTAGTTTGAAACTTTGTTGTATACATTAATCTAAGGTCCCTTAGAATAATATAACTGTTTTCAAATAATATTTGTCTATTTTTTCCTTCTTGTGTCAATTGTACAAATTAAGTTTATATATTTAATAAAATTCATGGAATCATGTTATCGTCTCTGTGGCGTAATCGATAAGGCATCGGACTGACAATCTCATGGTCGTGAGTTCGATCCCCGGCGTGTGCAATGAAGAATTTTATTCAGTAAATAAAGCCGTGCACTATTTCGGCATAGTATGCTTACGCTATATAAATCCTTAGACCACTATGCGAGAATAGTAGGGTATGGGTTATATAGAGACAAACTGACAGGAAGCATAATAATATCAAATATAATATACTGAAATATGCACATATATGAATCTAATTAAGATTAAAATTTTGGTTTAATATTAAATTAAATTCATTTTATAAATGTTTCAAACACAAAGCATAGGGGTTGCAGCCTCACTACTTAACGTCACAAAACTTACGTTATTTTCTAATTATCATTTGAAAAATTAAATGATGTCATTTCTATTTTTGATAATAAACTTTGTGTTTTACGCTGATGCATTGAACAAAGGAAGACTTGGTTTCAAAATGGGGGAAAAATGTCGCAATGAGCTATAACGCATTTTGCGTTTTTACTTCAAAACAGGCGAAACTACCAGTAGAGACAGATACTTTCACTGATAAATCAGACTCAAACTGAAAAGAATGTAAATAAGAGTCTTGTTTATAGATGGTTTCAACTATCTTGTTTATAGATGGTTGAAAGTGAGCAATAGTTGATCCACAGAAGATGAAAATATTGAAATACACACAGTCACAAACATACATAGACAATTTGCAGGAAAAAAAATTGATAATGGGAGTTTTATTGGCACATTTGATAGTACACGGGTAATCCTATATTCTTTAACAAGTGCATCCTTCAACATGTACTCTTAATGTGCTGAACAATTTAGCATATAGGTAATTTTCTACAATATTATTATACTGTTAGGTTTAGTAAAGGCTATATTCATATCTGACACAAAAATCAATTTCCTCCTCATAAACTGCTTTTAACAGAAGTTCATAATGCCCCATACAAATGCCCCATGATAAATGTTATATGGCACTTATCCATGGCCTATTTTGTCATTAAAATAATTTGCTGTCAATAGTCAAAAGCATCAGCATATCAGCATACTTAGAGATACATGTATCTACATTTAAATAGTGGTAGTTTATAAAATGTTGATGTATCTGAATTCCAAGTTGAAGGCCATGACAAGTGTTTTATTCTTCTTATTATATGTGGAAGTTTTTTAAAAATAAATTCTGCTTCATGGAGCTTTCAGTTCAGGTCAGCTTAAAACAGGCAGATAATAAAGAAGTGCTCAAAATTAAAGGCCAGAATTTAAACTTTTTTTTTTAATACATGTACTTATAGTCTTCAAAGATAACATAAATGTTGTCAATGAGGAACTCCAGTATCCTTTTAACACAATCTGTGTACCAACCAACTTAAGAGCACGATAAAAGATAGATAAGGACCAGGTACAAGTATATCAGTATATGGTCAAAAGGTTTCACCTTACAACACCTTAAATCATATTAAAAGATAATATACATATTTATAGCCCCTGCTTGAAAAAAGGTAGGGTATTATATAGTAGGGATGTCAAAATTGTCAATAACTGATATTCAAATATTCGATAGGAGTATTCGAATAGAATCCGGGATGTTTCGCGCCCATTCTGTTTCGCACTGAGATGGTTCGCGCTAGGATGATTCGCGCCGATTTCAGTGCGAAACATCTCACGATTTATTTTAAATATTCAATCACATTTTGATCCATTTTAATCGATTATAAGATATAATATATAGATGCTGTGTGATCAAATTCATGACTTAATACACTGTCAAAAGTTACGGATCGGTTCATCAAATTCCAGTGAGTATTAATCAAAGTTGGAGATCAATTCAATTCAATTCGGAAGGCTAGAATTTATAAATTGATATGTGATGGTAGTCAAAGCTAACAATAATTACTTAATTAGATGACGGTATTATAATTAGCATGGTGTTAGAATAATACATAATATACATATTTATAGCCCCTGCTTGAAAAAAGGTAGGGTATTATATAGTAGGGATGTCAAAATTGTCAATAACTGATATTCAAATATTCGATAGGAGTATTCGAATAGAATCCGGGATGTTTCGCGCCCATTCTGTTTCGCACTGAGATGGTTCGCGCTAGGATGATTCGCGCCGATTTCAGTGCGAAACATCTCACGATTTATTTTAAATATTCAATCACATTTTGATCCATTTTAATCGATTATAAGATATAATATATAGATGCTGTGTGATCAAATTCATGACTTAATACACTGTCAAAAGTTACGGATCGGTTCATCAAATTCCAGTGAGTATTAATCAAGGTTGGAGATCAATTCAATTCAATTCGGAAGGCTAGAATTTATAAATTGATATGTGATGGTAGTCAAAGCTAACAATAATTACTTAATTAGATGACGGTATTATAATTAGCATGGTGTTAGAATAATACATAATTATGCTAATATGTATACCGGTACTTCAAACACCGACATAATTATTATGTAATGTCTCTGATACAAATATAATATTCTTGAATCTAAAAAAAAATCCAAAAAAATATTTCCAACATGCATGAATAAATAACATGTTTAACAAGAGGCCCACGGGCCTTATAGGTCACCTGAGTATCATGTAACAACTTTCCAGCGATTGTATTTGGTTCGTGTTTTAAGCCAAAAGCCATGAAATTCACAAATTTTGAAAGAGGCACCATTGCTTATC